TATTTATTATTTACATGAATTATTAAAAATAAATAATTAAACAAATAAATATATTAAACAAAAATTATAAACATTAATTTTTTATTATTATTATTTAATTAAAAAAATTCATTTAAAAAAATTTTTTCTCTTGGTTGCCAATATTCGGCCAATATTGGACCAATATTAACAACCGATGCTCGGCGAACCCGTTACATCCCAAGCATCAGCCCATATTGGTCCAATATTGGGAGTTAATCGGCGCCCAGCACGGCAAGCAACCCAGTAAACGAAAACTAATTGAAATGAATTAAAAAGAATTCACAAAGAGCTTTCGTGAATCCCGCTTTGTGACAAATACGAATTGGAGCCATGATGCAATTTTCCTGAATTCGTGAAACTGTATTGAACTTCCGAACCTTCTATCCGTACCAATTCACTGGACAAGTTTTGAGCCTTTAATTTTTTTCAATTCGTTAGCACGAATTCAATGCATTCCTTGGCCATTTCTTTCGAATGCGAATTCGTTTGGACAAATTGGTACATATTGAATTAAATTCAATTGAATATACAAAGAGCTTGAGTGAATCCCGCTTTGTGACAAATACGAATTGGAGCCTACCAAAAATGTTAATTCGTTTCAATTCATTTGAATTAGTTTTTTTTTACTGGGAATATTGGACCGATAATGGACCGATTAAAGTCTATTGGCAATTTCTCACTGGGAAGTCGAAACATGTCTGAACAGGATTTCCATTCAAAACAAACTTTTATTGCCTTGTATTATTCTCAAAAATTACAAAGTAATTAACCGGAGATATTGAACTTTTAAAAATCAAAAATTTTGGAAAATAAGACTTTTTTGAAAATTTTGTTGAAAAATGTAGAAGTAATCTTAAAATTATCGTTACCGACTTGTAGAGCTTCAAAAAACGCTTCGATTGACCTTTTTTTGAACCTAATTCGATAATAAATATCGAAATTATTAGTATTTTAAAAACCAAAAATTGTGGAAAATGACATTTTCTCAACTTTTTTGTTTGAAAATTTTTGTTTAATTATTAAACTATTATAACTATATTGTAGAGTATTTAAAAATACATTTATTGATACACACCGGGTGGGCATTAAAATTAGCTAATACAATTTAATAACTTTTACTTAATTTTATTAAAATTAAAAAAATAAAAATTATATATACCGGGTGTTAATTAAAATCTGTTTATACAATTTTTTTATAAGTCTATTTCTTATTCATACTGCTCTATATATATTTAGTAGAAAGTTACTAATGAAATGGTAAAAAGTCGTCCACCAAATGATTTAGTAATATATTACTAACAAATAGTGAATTTTACTAATTGATTAGTAGATTTCTACTAACAATTAGTAGAACTGTTTTATTAATGGTCGATAAAACAGTTTTACTAATTCATATAGTGAAATGAATGACTTTTAATTAGTGAATTTCTACTAAAACATTAGTAAAATTTTACTAAGATATATTAATATTCTACTAATTGAAAAGGGGAAAAGTCGTCCATGAAAACTATTAAAAATTAGTCAAATTTTACTATTTCTTAGTTGTAGAATTCTACTAATTCAGATTTAGAGAGTGAGCTTCTGACTAAAAAATCTTTATCTCAAAATATCAAATATAACTCTCTAAATTTGCCCAAAGTATGCAGCTGATTCAAACAATTTATATACGCTGGCAAATCAGTCCATATGAATTAGTTTTATATTTATTCATGTTAACCGAATGTATTTTCTTACTAATTAAGTACCCTTAAGGATGTGGCTACTTATACCCTTTATGGAGCATTGATCACAACATGTCTACAGCATGCCAAGCGTTCTTTCAGACATAACCGTAATAAAATAAAACAGTTATCACCATTTAACAATAATAGAATATCATTACAAAAAGTAAATCTATAACTATAACTTAATCTGTATTTTTAAACTAATTACTACTGAATATATGATACAAGATAATATATACCTTTCATCTATATGACAAGTATCTACTTATAGCTTCGAGCTTATCATCTATTTCTTATTCTTCCATTATATTCTTTTAATTAATTTTAATTTAATATAATAATTTTTTTATTTTTTATTTATAAATTATTTTATCATACCTTATTTATAGTTTAATTCTTTAACTACCTATTTATTCAACAATTTTTAATCGGTAGCAATGAAGAGTAAGGCTTTTTCAGAATCGATTCACATTTTTCAACGGTGACAATTTAAACTTTTTAAACTAACCAATGGGTTTTTTACTTGAATGGTATGCCTACAAAGAGATAAGCCTTAGACACTCGAATGCATTGATTTGTGTCCTTGGATCTTGGTCCTGTTAAGTGATCGACTTTCTTAATCAGGGTGGCCACAAGTTTCAGTTTATCAATTTCCCTGACATTTCCCTGACAATTTACTGACATTAAAATTACTTTCCCTGACAAAATTCTTTTTAAAGGAAAATATGAATGTTTACGGAAAATGGGTAAAATTTATGAATTTGAATAATTTCTAAAAATTACAATTATAACTCTTCATGAATTCAATTATTTTTTACAATTTTCAACTAAACTTCATCTCTAAATCAAATAATTTAAATAATTTCCCAAAATTTATTCTAGAATTCAATTATTTAAATACAAAAATTAAATTTTTTATAATAATTGTAATTATATATAAATATAATAGTTTTTCAATTTTGAATAATTTCCAAAAAATTAAAATTTGTTTAAATCTTTTAAAAATAATTGAATTTTTGAAAAATATAAATAAAAATTATCAAATTTTTGAAGAATTTTAATTATAAACAGGACCATAATTTCTCAAAAATTTTAATAACTCCAAAAAGTAAATTTTCATAAATTTTTATTTTATTGTTCGAAGATTATTGAATCTTAAAAAATTAGTATAATAAATAATAATAATTAGTAAAATAAAAAAAAAAATAATAATAAATAATAATTAATAATTAGTTTTTAAAAATGTTTTAATATAATTTTTCGAAAATAATTGAATTCCTTAAAAAAAAATTTGTATAATTTAAAAAACTAATTTTTTTTTTAATTAAAAATTTTGAACTTGATTGTATTCTCCAAAATGTTAAAAAGAATTCTAAAATGTTATTATTTTTGTATGTATGTATTTGAATTTTCGGAAATATGTAATTGAAAGTACTGAAAACATTGAATTATAAAAAATTAGAAGCTAATTTTCATTAACTTTCATTTTTAAATTTACCTTTAAAGATTTTTCATTAAAATTTTTGATATTTCAATTATTTTCAAAATTTGCAATTAAAATTCTTCAAAAATTGATTTTTAAAAATTGTAAATAAATACTTGAAATGTTTGGAAGAAAAGTCGAAAAAATTCCCAATTTTCTTAATTTCCCTGACAAAAATTTTTTTCCTGACATTTCCCTGACTTTACTGACAAAAAATTTTTTTCCTGACATTTCCCTGACTTCACTGACAAAAATTTTGTTTCACTGCCATTTCCCTGACTTTACTGACATGTGGCCACCCTGTTAATATATCAATTGCGAATTGAATCTAAATAAACCCTCTTTTCGAAATTGTTTTAAAATAAAATCTCTTGACTCACTTATTTGGTAAAATAGTATATAATAATATATTTGATTCAAACTAGCTATTAGGTTTGTTTATGAATTTTTTTAGGTATAAATTAAATTATTACAAGAATCAAGTGAGTCAAAAGATTCACTATTAAATTAAAATACATGCTGAGTTCTCTGACTACCAGTTTAATGAGTATATTGGGAATGTTCATAAACTTTGACAGCTCAATTTAAAGCCGATAAGGATATATCTGCGGATGCTCATGAGCTTAGAGTCACGGTTCAATTGCAAACTCCTCGTTCTAACCAATTGACTCTTATTACGTCAATCGAATAAAAGCTAAAAGTAATCTAATTGTTTTTAAAAAATGCTCTTGACTCACTTTCTTTTCTTGATATTCTTACATTGATATGTTACACAGAGAAAAATGGAGTTTGAAAAACTGGGAGTCAATATTGAAAAAACAGGACTCAGTCCAGTAAAAGTACATTAATTTATTTCCATCAAGCATCTTAGGGTATTGCGTATAGTGTATAGAGGGCCTTAGTTCCAAATGTCACTGTAAAGAGCATTGAAACACAGGCGAAGATTGTAAGGCGCGCTGCAGTGTGCATAGAAGAGAAACTGGACTCAGTCCCCTACTTCGAAATTTTCACAATAAGGGAACGCAGGCGCGGAACCTGTCAAAATAAATGGCCGACGCGACGCGAAACGAGTGTTTCCTTTTATTCACTTCGTCAATTTTATATAAAAAACAATAACCAATCATTAAAAAAAAGAAAAATATGTTAAATGCACTCTTTATATATTCATTTTCATTAATTCACAAGTTTTATTCTTCCCACATTTTTATACTTACAATTAACAACTAAATGCATCGGAGAATCTTACAATCATACGGGATTGAACACCTACCTAACCATACAACTAAATATACGCATAATTATAAATCGCACGCTTTAACATTAAGCCTCTCGGCTACGCAATCGATGGGAGAAATTTCCTATTTAAGAAACATCCCTTACCAATGAAATAAATTAGATCATGCGTGGATTTTACTTTGTAATTAATGTAAGTATGGATGTCAATGAATGAAATATATAAATAATTATTCTCACAGCAATATTTAATAATTTAATGAACTTAACTGCACTGCATAATAGTTGAGAGTAGTAAGAGTAAGTGAAATGGTAAGATAAGTGAACGACCATTAGTGTGAGAGAGAGAGAATAACTTGTGGTTTTCGAGTAGGTATCTACTTTATGTGCACGGCGTTCATTTTTTGAAAGAACTGGACTGAGTACTATTTGTTCAATATTCGCTTCTATTATTGACTTGTGTTTTGTACACTGCCGCGTTCTTATAACAATTACATGAGAAAGAAATTTCTCATTCCAATTTTTTTTACTCTTATTCCCTCTAAGACTATTTAAACAGTCTTGTTTAAGCTGATGAATGGGATAACTTGTGTTGAGTCCCAAAGTGTTCAGCTATGAAGCTTTTAATACTATATAGTGTGTACCTGTCACATATTATTCTATAAAGGAGTACTACACTGACTGCATAAATCATTTTTCCATTTTTCTCCGTGTAAGAGAGTCAAAATGAATTAGTTTGCAAAAATGACATTCATTCATATCAACCGAATTTTTTGTTACTAATTAAGTATACCCTTTAGGGTGTGGCTATTCATCTATATATTGTAAAATCAATATAGTCAAAGATGAATCCAAACCCATCGTGAACTCTTTAAGGAGCATTGATCTCATGCTGACTACAATATTCTAAGTGTTCTTTTCGATATCGTGAAAACAAATGAAATGCTTATCAACATTTAACATTAGAATATCATTACAAGAAGAAAACATAATGCTCAATGAACTTTTTTCACTTGAATAGTTCGCCCGCAGAGAGATAAGTCTTTACCTATCGAATCCATCGATTTGTTTTCTCAGGCCATGGTCCTGTTAAGTGATCGAGTTTCTTAATATGTCAATCGTGAATATAATCTAAATAAGCCCTGATTTCGAAATTGTTTTAAAATAAAATCTCTTGACTCACTTATTTGGTGAAATAGGATGTATTTAATTTTAATTTAACCTTTGATTATTGACTATAGAATCATTTTTTTTATAAGTTAATTTTAGACATTTTTATCTTTTTTTTGTTTAGCACAAGTTTTAAATAAATGTATATTTTACAGTAAATGTCTGATTTTATAAAACCAATAAGGATTTAGCAGCGAATGTTTATAATTTTAGTGTCACTGTTCAATTCCAAACCCCTCGTTTTAACCAATTGACTCTTATTACGTCAATCGAATAAAAGCTAAAATTAATCTAATTGTTTTAAGAGAATGTTCTTGACTCACTTTCTCCTCATATCATTACATTAACATCATGAAGAATATTACATCCTACTAATATTAACAACGTTCATTACATACAGTTTCAAAGAACAAAATTGTAAATAATATAAATTAAATGAACCATATGCGTTAATGTATATAGTCATCCTTTCGAGGTTTAAAATCATTTTCAATTCTTCCAACTTTACATCAACAGATTCAAATTATGCAATTTCAATATGAAAAACTGAAGATTAAGAATGCATTTAAGAAAATATTATTGAAATTTTAAACAAATCAATATGATATAGATTAGCCACTGTAACATCTTAAAACTAGTAAATGAATAAATATTACTAAAATAAATACTCACAGTGATTTTCATCCGTCGAAAGAAGATAATCCGATCTTCTCTCTTGGTCGTTGTTTTGAAGCCCTTCCTCTTCATTCTTATCCTCTTCCGTTACTAACTTGTTTTATTTATTTATTAAATACATTAATTACAGTTATTAACAACTCCAGATTACAATATTTCTAAATCGCAAGCAATAATTGTATAAGTCGCCGTTAATTTTTAAAACATAATTACAATAAAACAAAGTTTTATCCTTCGCGTTACTATTTATGTAGTTTCTTGATATCCCGCTTTCCTTCCTGTTCTTAACGCTGTCTTGTGTCTTCTCTCTCTGTTCCATTTGATGATCGTTCTCTTCTATCACTAAGTTGTTTTAGTAAGTTTTTCTTCTGGTCTTTCACAAGACGTCAATGTAGAATACGTCTCTAAAGCATAAATTTAATTTAATTAAAAAAAGACAGATAAACATATGTATAAATTCAAAAATAATTAGCGTATCATTTAATTTTTGGAAAAAGATAAAAATTTGAGGGATCCGAAAATCGTAACTACTTTTTTTCTATTCTGATGTATCACAAAATAGCAATACATTAATTTGAAAGTTAGCTTGAATGATTTATACTATTAAAATCCTTGCATATATTATGCTTCAATTATGTTCCTAAATATTATTAATTATGCTATATTTCTGCTCTTAAAAATGTTCTTTAAGCTTTTATTATGCCTCCCATTTGCAATTTGTCCCTCTACTTAATATTTATAAAAAAAAACATTCTAGATCTTAAAAATGAATTAAAAAATTTAAAACTTCTTTAGCGCTCATTGTTGCAGTACCTATTCCTAATTTTAAATATATAACACATTGAAATGTTACAAAAATATACCGACCAAAAAGTAATTTTACTGGTCCAATTTTTTAAAAAGTATAAACAGTAATTTTTCTCGCTAATGCTTACTGAATTGACAATTTTTTTTATAAATAAACTATTTGAAAACTCAATTACAAAAAATTATACCTCGAGTTATTAAATTATGCTTCATTTATATACTCAATAATTATAAAATTATAGACTTCAAGTTATTGACTTACGCGACATATTTGTTCAGACTGGATTATGCTGCTTTGCATACAAAGTATCCATTTTAATGCTTTCGTAAATTCCAATTAATAAACTTTATAAAAATAATTTTGAATTTTTAAATTTTTGAAATTTATCCTTTTATTCTCAAGCATATAATAATAATGTTCAAATCTCCATACGGATTTTCAAGCGTCAGCAAAGTAAAACTAAAGTAATCTTAAATCTAATTTTGTCAATGTCAAGCTAATAATCAACATATCCGAGATATTTATGACAATATTATCTCATTGTGCATAGCACTAATTTTTCATGTCAACGTTCCCGTACCTACGACAATATGAATATACCGACAGTGGGAAAAAATTCTCTCACTGACAACAATACAATTTATCAGTAGATATATTACACGACTACAAAGACGTAACATTAGTTCTATACTTTTTTAACTTCTATAAACTATTTCCCTCCAATTATTTTCCTTAAAGTATATTATTTATTAATGTTACTTCATTTAAACTTTGTACTATAATTATTCTTATAAAAATAGTATCTTCATTATTGATTTCCTAATACTGAAAATTAAATTAAAATATAATCAGAGAAGTAACATGTATGCTTAAATATTTAATTAAAATACGTTCCACGCGAGAAATTTATATATATATATATATATATATGAAGGTATAGGTATGTATGTGTACATATAATGAATAGGTGGACATAACCTATAAAGCCGCGCCAGTCGCTCCGGCGACGTCGAGTCGAGAGTCAAGTTCTGATGTTGTGTTATTGTGGGAACAAAGAAACGTGCTAAACAATTTACGTTTAGAATTCGAATCGTTCTCGTATTTGCTACATATATACATATACCCACCCACTTGCAATCACGCTCGTTTATTTCTATACTATAAATGGATACAACTCCACTGTTTCATGTACATGCTGTGTGAACGTCTTGTATCTCTGTGTATATGTATATGAAAGGAAACCAATCACACACAATGGGGAGTTAGTTCTCTTGGCTGTGTGTTAAAAATGAAATGGGGCATTGGGTGAAAGTACTCTTGGTACTCGGAGGTCTTATATCAGATCAGTCTGCCAGGAGCTGTTCAGGATGTGGTTCGTGTTATATTTACGAAGAGCTCCTGATGTGAGCCATTCGGAATAATATTTTTCTCGCTCACTTCATTTTATATATATATAGAAATAAAAAAAACAAACACCACGTGTTCATTTTTTAAAAAGTAAAAATTTGTTTTCTTCACATTATTAAATATTATTATTCTTAAAAAATGTCTATTATTAGAATATAAGACTTAGTTTTTTTCTTCACTTTTTTAAGTTATATTGACAAACGGTGTGTTTTGTGTTTTTGGGGGGTGTGTGTTGTGTAAGTGTGTGTTTTTACAGAAACAAAAAATGCAGTTGACAAGGACATGGGGTCTATTGTTTGTGGGAATTTTAACTTTGGCATGTTTCGTGAATGCCCTGGATAATGGATTGGCACGAACACCACCAATGGGGTGGCTAGCTTGGGAAAGGTTTCGCTGCAATACCGACTGTAAAAATGATCCTGACAATTGTATCAGGTAAGCAGCTGATATAACTTTAGGAAACATTCTTTTTTTCCATTTTTTTGTTTTCGTTTCCATCTAATTCAATATATTGGTCTTATAATAATATTATGTACTTTCCATTTCGATTTCCAGTACTTTTACTTTTCAGAGAGTTCAAAGAAAATGAAAGCGAATCGTTTAAGTGCAAGTTCCCTTTTTCATGTTTACATTTCTAATCTCTTGAACTTGTTTTCTGCTTCTTTTTTGTTTTTCCTTTTGCTTTTGTTCTGCGAGCCGCATTTTTTTTATTATAAAAGAGGACTTTTCTTTACTTTTATTATTTTGTTGTTTTTTAAACATTTTTATTTGTTCTATTTTTTTAATACTTCAGTTATAAATTATAAATTAATTTTAAAGAATAATTTCTTCTCTAAAAACCAACTAATTTTATAAAAGAGAACATCTTTCTTAATTTTATTATTTTGATGTTTTTAAAATATTTTTATTTTGTTCTATTTTTTAATACTTTAGTTATAAATTAATTTTAAAGAATAATTTTTTTTTCAAACAAAACTAAAGGATTTACGAGTTCTTTTATAAAATTTACTTTACCTGAGACGACATTAAAAGCAAAATTTTATTTCTTAAGTCTGGACTATTAATGTTTAATTATAATTAATTAATGTTAACATTAATTAATGTTTAGTTAATTAATTTTTATATTATAAACATATATTATTTAGGCCTTTTTTTACAAAAAATAATCATATAGTATTATATTATAAATATTATTATATTATAAATATTATTATATTATATATTAATAATATTAATAGTACCTAATCATAATAATAATTATAGTATACAATTTTTAATTTATATATATACACTATAAAAAATATCTTAGTTTAAGCCTGATTTTGACTAAAACAACTTATATTAGTAGAAATATTGACTGAATTTCATATTAGAAAACTGATTTTAAGACCTAAAATTGTCTTAATTTCATTTTAAGCCCAAAAATGAGTTAAAGTTAAAGAAAAACACATTTGAGCTGAAAATGATTTAAGACATTGTTTTTAGAGTGTATATTTTATAATTATAAAATTTTAAAAAATATATAATTTTGATCATTAGATGAAGAAAAAAATTGAACATTAGAAAATAATGAAATGTAAACTGGTTATTTAGGGAAACAGTATAAACTATTAAAGTGTGCAATTTCTGTCAAAATAAATCCACATTTATATAGATGGTGAAAGTGAAGTACTTTTAAATATTATTTTATATACAAAATTTTCCAGCAGTATTTTATTTACATCTTCATTTAAATTGCTTTCTTCTTTTATTTCCTAATTATTTCGTTTATTTTTAAATATTACTGAACTTTTAAGTAGTCATTTATCTTTTACTTCTTCGTTTTATTCATTATTTTGACATTTTCAGTTTGGTTTTATAATATTTTGCCTTTTAAAATTATTTTCAATGTATAATTAATTTTTATATTCTATTTTGTAAATTAAACTTTTAATTTTTTTCCGTATTCTTAATTTTTTTCTATATTCTTAAATTTCTTTTATATTATTCTCTAATTTATACTTTACAATAATCTTAGTCAAAAGTTTTATTATTACTTTTAAACAACTATTTAGTAGGGTAGAGTGGGGTAAAAAAGCCATGGTGTAAAAAAGCCATTTGAGTTTTATTTAAAAACTATTAAGCCGATTTATCAGCTGTTTAGAATATAAATACTATTAGGTAATACGCAACTTTTGAATCTAGTTTGAATGTTGTACCTAGATTAATATTGTTTTTATTGTAATTTTAATTTTTTGTTGCTTTTTTGAAAACATTTTGGTGAACTTTTCAAACATATTACAATCTGATTAAGTGAACGAATAATAAATGTAAATGTTTGTACATAAGGAGAAAAGTATACCGAAAACGTATACAATGTTAATTTTTGGAAATTGAACTGAATTAAAAATTTATTTTTGCTTTTTTAATAACTGGTCTTGGGTGTAAAAAAGCCAGGGCAAAAAATCCATTGAATATTTTGTGAAATTCACTTGTTTTCTATTTAAACTAACCTTCTTATTTTACAAAATTTCTCGTGTTTATTTAATAAAATTAATTAAACACGACGAAAAAGTAGTTCAAAGTGCATTCAAAAAATAAACAATGAATAAACGGTTGCAACGAAATATGTTATCTGTGGTGAAACTTAAAGAGAACTTCTAAAAAAGGTACGAAAAATTGGCAGTGCAAATCGAAAACAGGTAAACTTAATATAATTTTCAATTTTGCTTGCTAAAAACTCTTTCATAATTATTAAAATATTTTTCAAATAAAACTATTTGTCATATAATTAAAGGAAAACTATAAAAATACCTAAATTGATAACATGTTTTGCTAAAATCGTAGGGTGGCTTTTTCACCCCACCAGGTGGTGCAAAAAAGCCACTTGCAGTGCTTTCGTAAAACTCTTATAACTTAGTCCTTTCATGAGATAAAAAATATTTCCGTCAAGAATTTTCAAGCTTAATAACTAAACTTTCAATAACAATTGGAAATTTGAGAAAAAAATTTTAAATACAGATTTTACAGCATCAAAAGCAAAAATGTGGCTTTTTTACCCCACTCTACCCTATTGTTCTTCATTGTATTGTAAGGTTTTTTCATCCGTTTCTAACTAAATAAAAATTTTTTTTTTGCTTTTCTTTTTATTTTTTTTTTATTTTTCTCGTTTGAACTTGATTCTTAAACTTTTATTTTATAAAAGAAAAAAGCAAATAAATTTTTAAAAATCTAAAATAAAAAATTTTAATTAAATAAAAGTTTGATATTTTTAAGTTAATTTCTCTTTTTATTTGATATTTTTAATATTATTCCTCGATGATCAATTATAAAGATTTTATTTTTATATTTAATTATTATATAGGTATAATAAAAAAATTATTTATTTATACTCAACAAATATTTATAAATGAATTTTTTAAATTAAAATAAAGTTTTACATTAATATTTTAAATTAAAATAAAGTTTTACATTAATATTTTAAATTAAAATAAAGTTTTTAATTAACATTTTAAATTAAAATAATAACTTTTAAGTTCATACTTTAAACCAATCTATTATTTTGTGCATTATTGTGCCTCGAAGTTAATAATCTTTTTGCATATTCATTTAACTTATATATTCTCATCTTTCGTCAGAATTTTTATGAATCTTTTTCAGTAATTTCTCTCTTTTTATTTATTTTTTTCCTTTTCTTTATCCTTTTAAGTTTAAAATATGTCCTTCTTTTGTAGTACCAATAATAGTTGACCTCTGACTGTATTTTTTCGTTTAAATAAATAATAATTATAACAATAATAATAATTATAATCATAATAATACTAAAACAATAATAAACGAATTATAATTTTAATATGGCATGTCACAGTCTCTATTTTTAAATAGGTCTTTAAGGTTGTGTAAATTTAGAAGATTAACCTATAAACCAATAAACTACTAATTTTTAAATCGATTTGATCGATTCAATTTATTTCTTATTTTCAAATCGTTAATAATTTTAAATTATGATTATTAAATTGTTCTCACGAAATATGTTCAAATCCAGTCGAAATTTTATTTTCAAATGATTTTAAAAATTTTAAAGCCGTTAAAAATTATTATTTTCACACAATGAACCATTATAATCTATTTTTGTTCCCAATCGGTAAAACTAAGTTCACGCCAATTAAATACAGTAATATACTTTCACTCATTCGACACATCGACATTTAGCTAATTTCATTCATGGAAAGGAAACTTTTCATTATAAATGAAGTTCACACTTAAAACTATTTAGCGCCAAATTTAGAATATACTAGTGATTTAGAAAATACTCTTTTTTAGTATTTGTGACGCTCTCCCAAGAAAGGTACCAAAGTTGCAAAAAAATTTAGGTTATGTTCATAATTTTTGGATTAAAAATACAGAAAAAGAAACAATTATCCACTATTAGAAATTAATGACATTCAAATTTTTTTTATGTAACAAAAATATTCTAAAAATTGGTTTCAAATTTAAATAAATATAAAGAACCTTGTTATTAAGATAAAGACGCAAACATAACCGTTTTCTTCTTCTTTCTTGTGGGAGAGTGTCATAAATTTCAGAATTTCCTTTCTGAAAAAAGGAAATTATTTCATTCAATTATAATTGAATTGTATAAGAAAAAGAGACAATTTTGTAACTTCTTGTTTCATTTCTTATTTAAACATCAGTGTTAATTTAATTTATTATTTCTCTCTATATTTACTTTGGAACAATTCTCTTAAATGATTGTGAAAACGATGGTGATAAATTACATAAATAATAATGTGATGATGAAGACACAAGTTTTTAATAATGTATATATATATATAGGTATATAAGGTTTGAAAACAATGGAGTGTGAATATCACATGGGAGTGTGTGATGAGACCTTGCAAAAAATACAGTTATTATATTTATGAGGATGCAATTTTATTCACATATATATTAAATGTTCTCTTCCCGATTGCAAATCATAATTTTATCCATAACCATTTATAATTATGTATGTGTAAAAAGAGGAAAAAATAGGAATTAGTTCCTTGTTTTAGAATGAAATGTTAATTTTTTAATTACATCTTTCAATTCTGTTTTTTTTTCATAAAATTTGCAATACAATCTTTCCCTGTCATTTTTCAATTTTTTACGGTTTATGTAAATTTTACGAAATGTTTTTTTCTTAGACGGAAACGAAAAAATCACTTCGAAATTCCAATATTAAAATTTTAATAAACGAACAAAAAATTTTGATGAAATTCCAACTGGATTTGAAAAAATTTCACTGCGTAAACTATTTTTTACAGACTTGTAAAATTAATTTTTGACGTAAATGTGAATATTAATAAGCGACTATATTGATATTTAATGAAAACTAATCGAAAGCTCGAGAGTGAATTTAGAATTAAAAAAGAAATATATATGTTAAATATCGAGTCATTTAGAAAGTGTCCAGGTTGTCGCGCAGAGAACTAGGTCGCTTTTTGAAAAATAAAAATTCGCACTTGTACTGCTTTCTTTGCGTGTATCAAGGACACGAATCCTTGAAGTGTGTGAAGAAGGAATTATAAATACTTTTTTCAAGATTTATTATGCATGTTACATAAAATTAGATTTTAAGTTATCAGTTGCAAGATGTAAATATGACAGGAATATTAAAAAGAACTTCTAGGTCTCTACCCATCATCTTTCTCAATCTCTTTGTAACAAGAATTTCTTTTGTTTTGTGGCGTATGTCTGATCTCATCGAGAGAGAGAAAAAATAATAATTCTGTTTTAGCAAAAATAATATTTTTATTTTTCACATACTTTACTGTTTCTATTCTTAAAATTTTAATATGTATGTAAAGTTAGATTTGAAATTTTTATAATTTTCTTTTAAAAAATAATAACAGGGATCACAAACTGTCACATTTTTAAAATTTTGTCACCTATTTATATATTTTTAACCTATTTTCATGTATTTTCTAAATTTTCATGTCCTCGAAGTTAGCTTCGATCCTTAATTTTTTTAAATTTCCATCGGTTAAAATCTTTTGAAATTTGATTCATCTTATTTTGAATTAAGCTCAAATTCAGTTGATCCGAATTTTAATTTATCCTAATTTTAAAAAATAAAAATTTCAAATTCTAATCCTAATCAATCTCAAAATCAAATAATTTTAAAATTCAATTCATGTAATTTTTTATTCACATTAATTTTAGGAACAATTTAGCAAAAGCTGATAACCTTTTTTTATTTAGATTAACATAACTTTTATGACATTAACTTATGCTCCGTATTTCAAAAGAATCTAAAATTCAATTAATCAAAGTTTGATTTATTTCTAATTTTTATAATGATAAAAAATCAGTTCTGTCAATAATTTTTAAATATTTCACCTATTTCAAAAATAGAAGACACTATGATGTTATAATTTTCTGTATTCGGCTCAAAATTTCTGAAGTGTGACACTAATTTTTCGATTGAGAGATTTTTATATGTCATATCAATAATTTTATAGTATTTTCGTATCAAAATATAATCCCAAGTTGTTTTGCAAATATTCAATTTTGTTAAGTTATTGTTTAAACAATTTTTAAGCATCAAATTTAAAAAAAAATTCTAATACCGTTCTATTTAATAGTTTTTTTGTAAAATTTTGTATGAATAATATATACAATAATCATGCTTTCGAACAAAAATATTTGTTCATAATTTGTTTAAAATAGCAAACAATTATAAACAAATAGAAATAAAATAAACTTTTCCGCCTGATTTCGTATTTTTTCTGGTCAACTATGATCCCCTGTTTTATTAGAGTAAAGTAATAAGTAATAAATCAAAGGCAATTTTAAGGGAAACAACAAAAATATGTAACCGAAGTTCACAATGTCTTTAAAAACGAAAAATTAAAAGAAATTTTATAAATTAATTCATCATCCCAAATTTTGATCTGCACAATAATTTTTAAGAAATTAACCATCTCTCAAATAAGAATATAGTTACACACAAATAATTTAAATTTAAAGCTAAAATAATAAATGTGACGCGCTCCCAACTAAGAAGCAAACAATTTTAGGTTATGTTCATAATTTTTGGATTAAAAATACAGAAAGAGAAACAATTATGTATTACTAGAAATGAATGACATTCAAGTCTTAATTACAACAAAAAATATTTTAAAAACTGGTTTCAAAATTTAAATAATAAAAAAGAAACTTATCAAGATAAAGACACAAACATAACCTATAATTCGTTTATTTCTTAGGTACTTGGAAGCGATTCAAAAATATTTTCTTATATTTTAAATTTCGATTTTAAAAACCTTGCCCAGCTTCTGCCTCATAAAAAAAATAAGAAAAACGTAGAAAATAAATAAAAATACTCACGTTGAGAATACTTTGGCAAACATATGCTAGAGCGAAAAGAACGAAACTCTGTGATGGAAAAAATGACTAATTTAGTAAAATTATAAAATTATATCGTTAAAAATCACAATATCATATAAACAAATAAAGATGCAAGAAACTAATTTACTATTTTTTTCTCTCTTTTCTTCATTTTACAGTGATCGACTATTTAGAACAATGGCAGATATTGTCGTATCGGAGGGATACGCCGATGCTGGATATGAATATATTAATGTAGATGATTGTTGGTTGGAAAAGGATAGAGATTCAACTGGTCAATTAGTACCTGACAGACAAAGATTTCCATATGGAATGAAGAGTCTGGCAAATTATGTAAGTTTTTTTTTCTAATTTTTGTTTTCTTTTTTTATAATAAAAATTCCATTGACCCATATACAAAAAAAGTGTATATACTATTGAGAAACAAAAAGTGTTGTTTCTCTTTTTTTTATTTTCTTGAATTCATTAGCGTATGAATAATATTGAAATCGTTACGAAATATTTTTTTTTCAAAACTACTGAAATAACGTTTGCTTATTTTACACTTCTTATTCCTTTTATTAATTTCTTTCTTTTTTTTTCTTCAATTGGGTAAATTTTTTATTTTCCTTGGTACTCTCTAAATTTTAATTAGTATTTATAAGGATGTTTACTAATTTGACATTTTGCTTTTGAATTAGCAAATTTTACTACCAAATAGTAATTTTTACTTGTTTATTAGCAAAATTTACTAATTCAAAAGCAAAAAGTCAGTCACTAATACAAATTAGTAAACATTTTTCCCCTTTTGTCCCCTTATTTCAATTTTATCACCTTTTTCACCTTTTTTGACGATTTGTCACCTTTTTCACCTTTTTCTAATCAAAGATAAACAATTTTTTCTTTTTTTGAAATCTTTTTCAAACTGTAATCATAAAATTTAAACTCAATGTTATAGAATTCAGTGAGTTTTATTTTTGATTAAGATTAATAAGACCACAACATAATATAAATATGTTTTTTTATGTTAATGATTTAAATAATATAGATATCGTAAAGAATTTTATAAATTATAAGGTGGTTCATTCAACAGAATGCAGACCTTTAGATAAATATTTAATTAACATTCAAATAATTAAAATATTATTATTTTCAAAAGTAATACAATTTTTCGCAGAAATCCAATTATTCAAAAATTTAAAGGACATAATTCTTGTCAAAATTTTAATTCTCTTTATAAATAATAAAATTCTTCTTCAAAATTCAATTACTTCCAAAAATTTTAATAAAATTCTTGTCAAAATTTCAATTATTTGCAAAAATTTTCCTAAATTCAATGATATTCAATATCTACTATTTTAATAAAATTCTCCAAAAGAATTCAATCATTTAAAAAATATTTTATTAAAATTCTACGAAAACGTTTAATTATTTTCATAAATAATAAAATAATTTCACAGGAATTCTTTTATTGACAAATTTTTTATAAATTTCTTCACAATAATTCCATTATTTTCATAAATATTCAAACTCATTGTAGAATTTCAACTATTTTTAGTATAATTTTAATCGAATACCTCGAAAAATATTATTTTTAAAACTTTTATTTAAATTCATCGAAAGAATTTAATTATTTAAAAATTTCGTAAAATTTAATTGTAAACAAATACATTTAAAAATTCTCAGAATTTTTTTAAAAATTATTGTAAATAATTGATTTAAAGAAGAATTTTCGTTAAAAAATTCTAGAAAATAATAATTGAATTGAAATGATGAAAATTATTTTGAAGAAGTTACAGTAAAAATATTTCTTACAGTAGAAAATAATCATCTTATTGCTCGGCCATCTTTAATTAATTATAAATTGTTGAATTTGAAAAAGATTTGAATTTGAATGTTTTGAAAATCCTAATTCCTATAGAAAAATAATAATTATTAAATATTTTTAAAAAAAAGAAGTTATTACTGTTTTCGAATTTTAATTTTACTGTTAAAGAAATTCGTAAATAAATGTAATAGAGTGAATCGCAGAATATTCGTTAGGGGAAAAGTCAGGAAAAAACAAAATTACATTTTTGTGGCAACTTTGATTAAAATTGAATCATTTTTAAAAAATGTTATAGATGCTATATGATAAAAAGTTTGAATTATATATGCAAGTTGTATAAACAAATAAATTTTTGTCCCCTTTTTGAGGAAAAAACTTTCCCTTTTTACCTTTTTTGAGGAAAAAATGTACTGTAATGCCTGTTTTACTAATTCAAATTTAGAGAGTAAAAATTATTTATAAGAATTTTTACTTAATTATAGAATAAAATTGTTGAAAATATTCAACAATTTTGTTAATTAACAATTTGTTGATTTTATAATTAACATATAATTCCGCCTGAATTTTCAATTTTTTAATCATTGTATTTTTTTCGTCAACATTAAAATTAAATTTTTCTTCTTTTTCTTTCTATGGTATCAAATATTTAAAAATACTAAAAAAATATAAATTACATTTCACATTGTTAGGTACATTCGAAAGGATTGAAATTCGGAATTTATGAGGATTATGGAAATTACACGTGTGCAGGATATCCGGGAGTTCTCGGTTACTTGGAGACTGACGCTGCAACATTCGCATCCTGGGATGTTGATTACGTTAAATTAGATGGATGTTATGCTCATCCTAGTGAAATGGATCGAGGTAAAATCATCAAAAAGAATTATCTAACTTTGGTAACATTTTCTTTCTTCAAATTAGTAACACTTTCATTATTTAAAATTAATAGCTCTTTTTAAAACTTGTAGCCCATTTTCTTTTTAAAATTTTGTAACATTTTCCTTTTCTAAATAAGCAACTTTTTTTATCTTAAATTAATAATTTATACTTTTTTTCAATTAACAACATTTTCTTTCTTGTAAATTAGTAACTTTTTCTTTATTCAATTAGCATAAGTTTCTTTTCAAAATTTGTAACTTTTTCCTTTCTTAAATAAGCAACATTTTCTTTCTTAAATTAGTAACTTTTTCTTTTTTCAAGTAGCAATATTTTCTATTTAAAATTTGTAACTTTTTCTTTTTTTAAATAAGCAACATTTTCTTTCTTCAAACTATTCTAATCTTTCGGCGATAAAAATTCTTTTGTGCAAAGAAAAAACATTTTTTCGCATCACAATTTAACATAAACTTTACGAAACCATCGAAGAAGCAAGAAAAAAAATTTATAATTTAATTAAAATTGTTATTGTTAATAAAATTCTAAATTTATTAGTCATAGAAAATAATTTCCATCAACTTGAATTGTCAGCATATTTAGTGAAAGTAAAACTGAATGCGATAATTTTATACATGTATAATTAATAGTTAATAAATACTATGCTATTATTTATTATTAATAAATATTTATTTATATTTATGATCTTATTTATTATTAATAAATATTTATTTATATTTATGATCTTATTTATTATTAATAAATATTTATTTATTATTAACAAATATTTATTTATACTAATAATTTTATTTATTATTAATAAATATCTATTTATGTAAACAATTTTATTTATCATTAATAAATATTTATGCATATATAAATACAAATTTATTAATGGAGGAAGAAAACACATCGATTCAAATTTGAAAATTTTTCCAGGATACCCGGAATTTGGATTTCATTTGAATCGAACCGGACGGCCAATGATTTATTCCTGCAGTTGGCCTGTTTATCAAATTTACGCTGGCATGCAGGTAATTCAAATAACAATTTAATTAATTTAACTAATCAATAAATTAAATAACAATTTAAATCATTAAACTTCAGTTGACAATTCTTTTTTGCCACGCCGTTGACATACTGCTCAATAATGTGACCATTATTGCCCTAGGGTAATAACGAGTACTTTATTAACCTGTGAGGGTGGCCAATAAAGTGCCCATTATTGCCCTAGGGAAATAAGGGGTACTTTATTGACCATTACTGCCCTAGGGTAATAAAGGATATTTTATTGACCTATGAGCGCAATAAAGCCCATTATTACCCTAGGGAATAAATGGGAACTTTATTGACCATTATTTCCCTAGAGTAATAATAGACACTTTACTGACCATTATTGAAGAACAATTTTTATTCATTAAATCTGAATTGAATTAATTCTCAATCCTGATAAAAATGACCCAGTGTGGCAACAAATGTTACAAAAAAAACTTTCATTTCGTAAAAAAATGCAGTTCAATTCGTTAATCAAAAAAGTATGTTTTCGCAAATATCTCCAAAAATGAAAATTCAAGAAAAAAAACTTTCATTTCGAAAAACAAATGAACAAAAAAAAAACATTATTTTCGAAAACTGTTTCGCACAAAATAATTAGCAAAAGAAAAGAATTCTGCTAATAATTTTCGAAAAATGACACCCGAAAGGTTATTCAACTGCCGCCGAAATTGTGTCAGTTTGAAGGAAAGTTAGAAAGTTGAGAGAATATATTTGTGACAACAGAAGGTATTATTAAATATTGCCGTCTTCCTAATAATAGACTTTGATTATTAAAGGAAAAGAAGAAACAACAAAACAAAAAAAAAAAAAGAATACTAAAAACCCACTAATGAAGAAAATGGGTGATTAAATCTCATTTTCTCATGTCATTAAACAAATGAAATTTGTTTGTTTTTTCTTTCTTTTTTGACGTACCATGTAATTTTCCTTTCTAGCCAGATTTCAAGGCGATAATACGACACTGCAATTTGTGGAGGAATTTCGATGATATTCAAGATTCATGGAATAGTCTCGAAACAATTATTGATTACTACGGCAATAATCAGGATGCAATTGTACCAAATGCTGGACCCGGTCATTGGAACGATCCCGATATGTTAATTATCGGTAATTTTGGTTTAAGTTACGAGCAAAGTAAAACGCAAATGGCACTTTGGGCAATACTTGCAGCGCCACTTTTAATGTCCGTTGATTTACGAACAATTAGGCCCGAATATAAGGCAATTTTGCAGAATAAAAAAATTATTGCCGTCGATCAGGATCCACTTGGAATACAGGGACGAAGAATTTACAAGGTTTGTTTTTTTTCTCCTCTAAAAGGTTTTCTCTCTCTCTAGCTTTGTTTTGGATTTTTTTAATTCCAACAAACGAAATTAATTTTTTCAATTGAAATTATTTCTTTCCAGCATAAAGGCATTGAAATTTGGGCGAGACCAATAACGCCAATTGATCAATCTTATTATTCATATGCAATTGCATTTTTGAATAGAAGAACTGACGGAACTCCGTCTGATGTTTCGGTGACGTTAAAGGAACTCGGTTTGCAATATCCTGGTGGCTATCGAGTCGAGGTAATTTTTATCAATTTTTATTTCTTCTTTTATTGCCGCATTGCAAAAATATAATTTCAACATCAGTATTTTATTTCCGTTCAGGAAAAATTTTTAGATAAAACATCTTTTAACATTCTCATCGCATTCGAAAGTATTATAAATGATAATTATTATAAAAAAAAAATATTAAAAGATAATGGGAGCCTTCGTCAGTGACAGTTTATTTTTTTAAAAAAAGTTTTAACTTTTTTACAACGACAGTAAATTAAACAAATTTTTTTAAATGAATTCATTCTTTTATATTTATAATTATTTAGTCATCTGCAGACTTCGCACTCGATAATTAATTTTAAAATAAGTACCAAAAAGTAGCTTCCAAACTAAAAAAAAAGTAGCTATAGAAAAATTAAACTTGACAACAACAAAAAACTCGTTTTAGAAACTTCACAAAACTGACAAAAATTTCATTCCATATTTTTTATTCTCCTGACTTTTTCCTAATTTTTATCAAAAATATTTACTTCTTTCTTATCATGCTAATAAATTAAATTCCTCCAACGAATTTCATATTATTCATGAAAGAATTTAAATATTTATAAAAAGAATTTAATTCGTGCGAAGAATTTTATAAAAAATTTTTAATAATTGATTTCTTTCGACTAATTTTATGCAAATTTTAATTTAAATAATTGAATTCCTGAGAAATTTTTATTATTCATGAAAATAATTGAATTCTTATGAAGATTTTTTCAAAAATTTTTTAAATAATTGAATTTCTGTGAAAAATGTTATTTATCGACATAATTGAATTATTTCGAAAAATTATTTATGTAAATTATTCAATTCTTGGGAAGAATTTAATTAAAATCTAAAAAAATAATTGAATTATTTCAAAAATTTTTAATTTAAATTGTATTTAAAATGATTAATTTCTTTCGAACAATCTTATTAAAATATTTGAAAATAATTAGAATTCCTGTGAAAAATTCTAATATTTTTGTAAATAATTGATTTTTTCGAGGAATTGAAATTAAATTTTTAAAAATAATTACATTTATTTGAGCAATTCCCATAAAATTGAATTAAAAATAATTCAAATCATGCGATGAATTTTATTGTATATGAAAATAATTGAATAGTTGCAAAGAGTTTTATTAAAAATTACAAAAATAATTGAATTCCTGAGAAGAATGTTATTATTTAATGAAAATAATTGAATTCTTGGTTATAGAATTTGATCAGACATTTTTTAAAAAAATTGAATTTCTATGAAATATGTTATTATTAATGTAAGTATTTGAATTATTATGAAGAATTGTAAAAAAATTTTGTTAAATAATTGATTTTTTCGAAAATTTCTTGAAAATGCTATTCTAAATTAATTGAATTCCTGTGGAAATTTTTTTATTTATATTGAAAATAATTGAATTTTGGATGAATTTTATCAGTTTTTTATAATAATTGAATTCTTTTGCGAAATTTTTTGAAAATACTAGATATTGAAAATAATTGAATTACGAATATTTTTTGAAAATAATTGAATCGTTATAAAGAATTTGATTATAATTTTTGAAAATAGTTTTTTGATTTCTATAGTATTAGCGAATTTAAAGTAGTGGAAATTCTCAAAAAACAGAAATAGTAGCTTTTAGTTTCTGAAATCTAAAAAAAGTATACCCAAATAGTAGCATAACGTAAAAAAATAGTAAATACTTAGTAGGTTTTAGTAGATGAGTGCGAAGCCTGCATCTGAATAATGTATTTAGTTTTTTTTTAAATATATTTAATATTTATTTTTCTTTAATTATAGTAATAAATACTTCCAAAGCAATTTAATAAATTAATAAAAATAATCAATATTTTGAATTTCCCGTTAAATTTTAATTCTGATATTATAAGCAATATTTGAATTTTTTGCGACTTTTGGTTACTTTTTTCTCCAGATGGCGCCAAGCACACAAGTTTTGCTGGCAACACTGATTTTTTGCGCAAAAAAGATGAAATATAAATTTTTGTTTCAGGACTTGTACGAGGATGTCGATTACGGAATTCTCACGCCATTGACAAAAATCAAAGTCAAAGTAAATCCATCGGGAGTTGTAATTTTAAGATGTGATTTGCAAGTCGATGATTTGTATCTTGCTGATCAATATACGCCGTACGTGCCTCTAAATCAAGTCTTCAAGGAAAGAAACAGTTTCAAATAACTTGCCAGTTAGATTTTTAGTTTCATTTCGTGTTTTTTTTTATAATTTAATTGTTTTTTCTACCCGAGAAAAAGAAACTTTATATAGCAAAAAAAAGAAAGAATCTTTCTTTCAAAAGAAAATGTTACCATAATTTTTTTATATAAGAAAAACGTAGAGTACAATATTACTTTGTATGATGTATCTTTACGTATGTACATATGTGATACATATTATTTACGAAGTTATGAAATTAAAATTTAAAAAAAAATACAAGAAGCACTGGTTTTTAATTAAGTCGAAGGAATGCGATTCAATCGATTGCTACTACACTTGTGTTTTACTGATTCAATCATTTATAGTTTAGTTTTAATCGTTACATTCACTCCTACGGATTCTCGTTCTGGGAGAGTTGCTCTGCTATACATATAGATTGACTTTAAGGAGCGAACTCAAAGAGTTTTATCGTATTATAAATGTTTTTTTTTCGAGGATTATGGTTATGTTTCCGAGTCAATGAATTCGTTCAAGGATTTTTTCAATTTTTTGTTGTTAACTATTCTGATTAAATTTTATTTACATGGCACATGGTGTGTGTGTAAATTTTTATTTATTTTTTCGTTGCGTCAGATTATTTTGCAATATCAATATCATGGCAAACAGGAATGTTTGTTTATTTTATTTAGAAAAAATCCATGGTCAGACACTTTTAAGATATTATTTAGAGTCGCCTAAAATTAGCACTCGCAACGATGAGTCTAACATAAACAAAAAATTATTTAAATTTTTATCAATGGTAATATCAGAGAAAAGCTAAATATACCAAAAATTTAGGGCGGTGGAAAATGTCCAAGCATTGTTTTCCTTAGTCTGAATATATTCCTGAGTAATAAATAAAATATAAACGATAATAATTGTTTATTATAGTTGAACATCAGTTGACATAATTTTCGAAAAAATTGTAATTTCATATAAATTTAATATAATTAATCTAATTTCCAAAAAAATATAGGGGGGGGGGGTAGAAAATAGATGAAATACATTTTCAGAAATTACCAATCCACACTTATGACATCTTATCGCATTGTTAAATTCAATAGTTTTACCATAAGTAAGCATTCTATTTTGATATTTATTAGACAGTCCTAACCGCGCTAGAATTTTTTTTATGATTGATAGGTATTTTTACTCTAAGATATTTTTGGGTGCCCTCAAACAATGCTAATTGTGGTAAAATTTGCAAAAATAAAGATTCATTTAATCTTTTAAAGTCCTCTAAATACAAACCAGTCTCGTAAGCCTTTACCCATCGTTCTTTATTTTCAATAAGGTGCGGGACCGATAATTCCATCCAACTTACTGACTCTTATCTCCAATTAATTGAAAAATTTTTTTAACTTGCGTCCACCGATTGTATTTATTTGTCAAAAGTTTATTTCCCATTCAAAAAATTATTATTTAATTATTTAATGAATAATAGTAGGGTGATGTGGGGTGATGTGAAACATGGGGGGATGTGCAACACCGCCGATTTCTGATCTACAGTTCGATATTGAACAGAGCCAAGTATTGCCATTTGTTTGTGTCCTCAATAGCTTGTTTTTGATATAAAACTCACGAGACAGCTCGCAGCTAGGTTTGCTGTACGTAAGTTGACTTAAATTTCTCGAGAAGGAAATATTTCTCGTGCTTTACATTTCTAGTCGTTTCGTGAAGGGTTTTAATTTATTTTATAGATAAGAATGTGTTTATTGTTGCTTTTTTAAGTGTTTTTAAATATCTTTTTATATTTTGTGTTTCCATTGCATTGAATTGCGTACAAATCATTTTTTGCAAAATACCATATTTGGGGTGATGTGCAACACTTTTTTTTGGGGTGGACGTAACTACATTTACGTGCCATAACTGCGATTCACATGATGAATAAAAAATTCTTAGTTATTTTCCTTTAATTATATTTCTCATTCAGTTATTAATAAATAAAAAATTAAACAAAAAAAATTTTTTTTTCTTTGGTGAAATCTCTACTTTTCAGAGGTCAACTATACCTCAGTAAATTTTTTTTGGCAGATTTTGATTAGTTTGCATTAAAAAAGCCTAAAATTAATAATTAAAGAGATTTTCATCGATATTTATGCATTACATACCTGAATTTTACTGGTGTTGCACATCACCCCAACTTTTTTGGAAAATGCAAAAACAGACGTTTTTGAAAAAGCGAAAAGTTTGTAGGAAAAATTTAAAATTCTGAAAATCTAATAATGCAGAAATATTCTATTATAATGCCTCTAAGTCATTCAATTTTGAAATATTTAAAAATTTAATTATTTGACATGTTTTTCGTCCAACGAAAAAAAACGTTGCACATCACCCCACATCACCCTAAATAATTAATAAATTTAATTAATTTAAAATTAATAAATACCTAATATTAGTAATTAATTCATTACTAATTTCTTTTAATAGTAAACTAAATGCTTTTGATAATTAAAGAATATACTTTAAAGAGCTATTCTTTTGTCCCAAAAGAAATCCATTTAAATAAATAATAAAAGGAAAGTAACTTTTATATTATAGCAATTTTTGTTTGTTAAAATTTTTCATTGCGATTTTGTATTATTTTGGTGAATTTTTAAAAAATTAAATTATTGTAGCTCAATATTTTAATTTTAATCTTTTTTAATATAAAAAATTTTTTTTACACATTACAAAAATTAATTCTGAAGTAAGTAAAATTTAATTTTAATTATTTTTCTTTATTGTATAGTAATTTTTAAAAAATATTTAAGGAAGAATAATTTTTTTTACTTGAACATCCAAAACTTTATTAGGAAAATGATAAAACTTCTAATTTACCGACATTTCGTCAAGTGTCCTTTTAGTAAGAAAAGAATATATCACTATCTATTCTTATACTAGTAGACCCACACGGAGAGAAATCTGTTGCGAATAATGCATAGAGTAGAGGTTATGAATATAGCATAAGCACTTACTAGTGAAAAGTATAAGAGGTCCGCCTGAATATCAGTCGACTCCGCCTAATATTCAGGCGGACTCGAGCAATAAATAGGCTCTCTGTTAGGATTTTAGCATCAAAGAATCTATGGAAAAAGTATATGAAAAGTTTCGAGCATTAATCCTAACAGATTTCTCTTCGTGCAGTGAACAAAAACTAATTGAAATAAATTAAAAAGAATTCACAAAGAGTTTCAGTGAATCCCGCTTTGTGACAAATACGAATTGGAGCTATGTTGCAATTTTCCTGAATTCGTCAAACTGTATTGAACTTCCAAACCTTCTATTCTTACTAATTCAATGGACAAGTTTTTTGGGGCCTTTAATAATTTTTTTTTAATTCTTCAGCACGAATTCAATGCATGCCTTGGTCATTTCTTACGAATGCGAATTCGTTTGCACAACTTCAGGCAAATTGAATCAAATTCAATCGAATATACAAAGAGCTTGAATGAATCCCGCTTTCTACCAAAAATCTTAATTCATTTCAATCCGTTTGAATTAGTTTTTTTTTACTGGGGAATCTCTTAATACTCCGAAATAATCACAATTCATTATATTTAGAAAAGTTAGAAACAATTTTCTACTAAAAACTATTGGAATTATGAGGTCTTTTTTCAGGTTATGATGAAATTATCATTTTTCAGGTTATTATAAAATAGATAAAATGTATAAAATTTATAATTTAATTGTTACTTAGATATTTTAGTTTATCTATTTATTATATAAAATAAATAATAAAAATATTAAAGATTGAAAAATTATGAATAAAAAAATTATAAAAATATTTTCTTATATCAAAATTACATAACCAAATAATAATGAATTCAAAAAATTCACAAATATTTTTAAAAACAGTAAAATAAATACAAATTTTTTAATTCTTAACTGTTTTTAATTTTTCTACTTTTTAATGGTGTATTTCAATATTTTCCATAATCCAATTTTTCTAAATATTCCAACTACATAATTACCCAGTAATAAGGGGTGAATTAAAGTGGATTAGTACTTTTATGCCCTTAAATTCCAAACCAATTCGGTTTTTGTCCGCAATCTTAATGAATTCCTTTTCTATTGTTAAGTTGATAATTTCTATCCAATTCAATTCTCTGTAACCACGTGACCAGAGTCTGAATCCACACGGAGAGAGAATATATATTAAATTTTGTAAAAATATTTTCAAATTGGGGAAATAGTGCGACAAAGCGAAATTTTGATATAAAAAATACTAAACTTTAAAAAAACTTATGTGAAATTTAGTATAATTATATCAAATATCAAGAATATTAATTAAATTCTAATATAACTTTAATAAATTTCACAAAACTTTTTTTAAAGTTTAGTATTTTTTATATGAAAATTTCGCTTTGTCGCACTTTTTCCCCAATTTAAAAATATTTTTACAAAATTTAATATATATTCTCTCTCCGTGCACTTTAATGCCGTTTAAGGGAATCATTTGTTGTGGAGTTAATGCCTTTTTATTAACATTGAATTCTTTAAAAGGCATTAAAGGGGTTTCAAATTCTGGTCACGTGGTTACAGAGAAATTATCAACTTAACAATAGAAAAGGAATTCATTAAGATTGCGGACAAAAACGGAATTGGTTTGGAATTTAAGGGCATAAAAGTGCCAATCCACTTTAATTCACCCCTTATTACATGGGTAATTTTTATTTGGAAGTTGATATTTTGCGCAACAAAAACTATACGAAATGAGTTGCCAATTTTAAACGAAACTAAATTTTAATCATTTTAATTAATTATAAATTAATATGTTTTACTTCAGAAAATATTTTTTACTTAAGGAATTTGGTTTCATTCAAGAAAATTTTTTTATCTTAAAAAAATTATTTTACTTATAAAAAGAACAGTTAATTGCAACAAATTCTAAAAACGTTAAAAAAAATTTCTTTTTTTCTGAAATTAAATAATAATTTTTTCAAAAATTGTTTTACTTAAGAAAAATTTTAATTTACTTTAAGGGTGCAGTCCCATGCTGAGCAGAAAACAGAATGCAAAGCAGAATTTCGTGAGTGCAAGAGAAATAGTCAGATATCAATATCCTTTCCACTCTCACGAAATTCTGCTTTGCATTGTGTTTTCTGCTCAACATGGGACCGTACCCTAAAGCGAAATTTTTTTACTTAAAAATATTTTTTTTTCTTTAAGAAAAGAACATTTAAGCAATTATCAAGAAAAAATATTCACTTACCATTAGCATTGAATTCTCGCTTTCTGAATGAAAATTCCTACGATTTCCTTGGATGAGTCCTGTTACCGATAAGAATATTCTGGTCCACATGACTGATCCACATTTCCAAATCCTCTACTAATGGTTTCACGTCTGAAAAAGAAAAATGAAAATTATCCATAACTAAACTGGTAAACTTATTGTAAAAACGTGTTTTTAAAATTCATAACCTGCAAAAGTTTTTTTATTAAATTGTCCATCAATATAAATTGCAACATGAAATCGACAAAATATTAGCAAAAAAATAATAAAAAAAAAAGAATTACTGTATTTTTTACTGTCGCTGTCGAAACAAATATAGCAAGTAAAATAGCAGCATAGCGTCACTTGGAACAATTTTTTTCCGCTATCAAACACGTGGAGGAGAAATAAAATTTTTTTCCAGCTTTTTTGATAAAATCACGAGAAAAAATTAGCACACTCAAAATTTATATTATTAAAGACACTTTTTTCCTCACCTTATCATAATTCTGTAAAGAGCTGATGTTTGATTTCCTATTCCGGCACTTCTCTCTACTTTGCAATAACTGTTACCGCGCACGTGTCGCATGTTAAAAATTCGCTACTCTATTTAATTTTTTATTTCTCGTTTATTTCTTATTACTTTACTTCACTCTACACGATTTATTCAAAACTCACATTTATTGTCCATTCGCTTAAACTTTTCGGCACTTTTGTTCAAATTAATAATAAATTATTGAAAGATTCAATCGACTCAAGTAAAATACAAAAGAAATAACGATGTTGTTAAAATGTGTTCTTCTTCTTTCCTTTTTAGTGGCCTATTGCAGAGCATACAGCCATTTCTATGTTAAAATGTGTTAAACGGTTAAACGGATCTTTTCCCGCTCAGGGTCGGGAAGGTCAATGAGGTAAGTTGCCAAATGCGCCATTCAAAGGGTTGAGAAGTTACAACTCACGAATGTGTAAGGGTGCGATCCCATGTAAGCAGAATATGTCGACCGAAAGCAAAAAATCATGAATGGAAAAGAGATAGGTAGATATTGTTGTTCTTTTCACTCTCATAATTTTCTGCTTTCGGTCGACGTATTCTGCTCACATGGGATCGCACCCTGAGGGAGCGTTCACCCCTTCTCATGCAAAACTTATGCATGCAGAATAATTTCCTATCTCTCTCACTCTTGAACGCTACCATGGCAACCTGCATGCATAAGTTTTGCATGAGATCGTGTGACTGTACCCTAAGGTTCGTTCCAGAATGGAATGTAAAAAAAGATGTCGGACAATTGAAGAAGCGCTAAAAGCATATATAATATTTGAAAATTACACGTGCGTCGTCAATGTCATGCAATAAATTCGTCAGATTATTAAATATAAATTATATACAATGAATCGACCAAACCAAGAAGGACAACCGATTCCCTGGGAAGAATTAGGGTTTGTACGTCAAAAAACAGAAAAAGGAAAGGCTATTTTGAAATGCTTGTTGTGCAAGAAAATTATTCAAACCTTATCTGCTTATAATCGCCTTATTGCTCACAGGTACACTGGGGTCAAAAAGTTTCAGTACATTTGTACTGATTACTTTTAAATGCTTGGTTCACTTCACATTCAAATATTTCTGTAAAAATAGATGTTATAGAGCTATCAAACTAGGATCATTTTAAAGTTCAATAAATTTAGAGTCAAATAGGCTAAGATATAACCAATTTAATAGTGTAAATATTAAAAATATAATTCTTTAAAGTTAGAGATTTTTTGTGAAAAATGCGATTTTGAAATCTGGAATTCAAGCGCACGCCAATTGAAGAAAATTTTTTTTTAAGCTTTGATAGTTGCACTGTTAGAAAATTCTGTTGTGATTTTACAGCAAAAGTACAAGAAACAATTATCCATCAAAATAATATTGTAATTTTACTTCACTAAAGTGCTGTAAATTTACAGTATACCATGTATTTCAAAAATATTCCCTACTATTAATTCGGAAATTCTATCATTTGAATATTTACATAAAAAATCAAAACTGTTTATATTGTTTTCTGATATGTTATAATAAAAGTAAATTAACTAAAAAAAAAGTTTTATTAGCATTTTATTATCATTATTACGGAAATGCGACGCCACGATTTGAACCCTTAGTCGTATATAGTGTTGTCTATCTTGTATGGAGCCATCAACCTTGGGAGCTGCGCCTAGACGCGCTCGACCAAGGGAGGCTATGAAAGTCTCTTGCAAAGTATTATGTATATATTGTCCCGACGCGAAATAGTCATTATAATAATCAAATTATTTATTATATGAATGTTGAATGACTTTTCTTCGATCGACAGTTAAAAATGAATTAATTTAATGTAATAATCGCAAATTAATAAGGAATAAAATATTATCTTTTTGTCAAATTATAAAAATTAATGTTATACTTATTAAAATTATACATCTCCGAACTAAAGTAAAGTTAAATTAAAATTTTGCATAAGACAAAAAATAAAAATAAACTAAATTTGTTACAGTATCAAATATAAGAAACATGTGTACCATACTCTATTCTTCTTTTCAGTCCAAAATTATTCACTAATACTAAAATGCAATATAATTAAAAAATAGTTTTTATTGAAACTATTTTTAAGCTTAAAAAATGATTCAGCTATACTTTTAGGACTTAAAATCATATTCTTAAGGTTAAAATTCAGTCAATGCTATAGTTATAATGTAAAAAACCTCAGCTAAAATCACAAAATGAATATCTGTAAAATTCTTTGAGTTTTATACTGTGATTTCGCAAACAATTTACTGTAAATAAAAAGTACAATTTTTTTTTGCTGTGAATTATTCAAATACAATGAAATTTTGCTGTATTTGTAAGGTTTTACTGTAAAAATTACAACATTTTTGTGAATTTACTACATTTATGTGTTATTACAGCAAAAACTGTAAATTCACAATATGTTTGTACTGTAAAGTTGCTGTAAAATTACAGAAATTTCTAACAGTGTGCACAATATCAAGTATAAATTCCATTCTTTAATTCTAGACCAAAATAATTCACATATATTAAGTATTTTTTCAAATTCTATAAAAATAACTTCCCTTGCTCTCGAAATTTTTCAAAGAATATTAATTGCGAATTCGTCGTTTCCGTTCACTTGTTTTATCAATTAACCACACTTTTGAAAAATATGCACCTTTTTGTTATTGTAAAATAAAAAATATTCACCTGGAAAGAAAATAAGAAATAATGATAGAGTTAAAATTTATAAAACTATAAGAAGAGGGATATATTTCATGTAAATTTATTAAATTTTCTAAGATGAAGAGGTTCTATATTTTTCAGAAGTGTGGTTATTTGATAGAACAAGTGAATGAAAACGACGAATTTGCAATTTATATTCTTCGAAAAATTTAGAGCAAGAGATATTATTTTTATAGAATTTGAAGAAAATACTTAATACCTATATGTGAATGATTTTGGTCTAGAATTAAAGAATTAAATTTGTACTTTTTATTATGCAACTCTAAACATTTTTTAAATGCAATTTGTTGGGACACAGAATTAAGAAATAGTCAACGGCAATCATGTAAGCAATTCTGCCATTTTGAAAAAGTAAATTACGTATAAAACTGAGCACGTAAATTACGGACGTAATTTACTGTAAAAAACTATGTAATTTACGTCAGGTAAATTACGTACGCAACCCTGTGGAGAATACACAATAATAAAGTATTACTCACACGTTTTTATAAAGCACGTTGCAAGTATGCCAACCTCTAAATACAAAAAGTAATATCTGGTTACTTCTCTAGTAACTTTAGATTTTTCGGAACAATACAGAAAATCCCTAGATAGTAACTCTAGTAAATTTCTCCTGTAACCTTATTAAATATACGTTTTCTTCATGGTTTTCGATTGCAGCGCAACCAGAAGCCGGGAACTAATGATTTACTCATTAGTTTAGTGATGACAGTATTTTTTTGCAGAAAGAATAAAAATAATGTCAAAATAACGAAATTTATCATTGAAAACAAGTGTAAATAATCACGTGTACTTATTAAAAATGAAGACAGCACTTATGGTGGCTGAAAAGCCATCTTTAGCTGCTTCACTCGCGAATATTTTAAGTAATGGAAGATGTTCTTCACGAAAAGGTAGGTTATAAAATTTAATTTCTATACACTTTATGTACCATTCTTTCTAAATTAAATGATAACAAATTACCACTTGTTATTACTGAAATTGTTCTACTACTTACTTGGTCTACATTTTCTTCTATATATATTCATTTTCCTAAAAAAATAACCTCAAAAATGGTGATTTTCAATAATACGTAGCAAGTTGCTTTTTAATTTTCGAAATATTTACAAATTTTCCAAAATTAAGGAAAATTGTTTTAACAATTAAAGAAATTTCACTGAAGTTGATTAAAATTTTTAATTTATATTGTTTAAATTTATTTAAATATGAATGAATTATAAAATTTTTGAAAACAAGTTTTGATTGAAAATATAGAAAGTTTACAAAATTGATAAAATAGGTGCCAAAATTAAAAAAATTGGTCAGGGATTTTTATTAATATTTTTATTAATATTTTTGTTTTTATTTTTGTTTGACTCATAAACTATGAAATTACCACAAATTCTAAAAAAAAACATTAAATTCTTTCTATTTCTGACAATAATTTATTTTAAATAACTTAATTTTATTGGAAAACTGTCATAAAGTTATTACTCATAAATCATTAAATGAAGTATTTTTTTGAAAAATTTTAATTTCAATTCTGTTGAAATTAGTTTCAATTTTAAAAATTTTAACGCAATTATTTGAAAGAATTCAACTATTTAATGAATATTAAAATTCTTTCCAGAAATTCAATTATTTTCAAAAATTAAAAAAAAAATTCTCGTCAGCATTTCAATAATCTTTATAAGTAGCAAAATTGTTCGCCAAAATTCAATTATATTCAGGAATTTTCAAAAAATTCATTGTAAAATTCAATTATTTTTATAAATAACAATATTCATTACTAAATTTTAATTATTTTAAAAAATTTTTCTTATTTCAATGATTTTCAATATTCTACTATTTTAATAAAATTTTCCAAACGAATTTAATTATTAAACAACTTTTTTGATAATATTCATGAACATTCAATTATTTAAAAAAAATATTCCACAGGGATTCAATTATTTAAAATAGAATTTGCATAATTTTTTTCGAAAAAAATCTATTGTTTTAAAATTTTGCATTCAATTCTTCGCAGTAATTCAATTATTTCCATACATTTTTAAATTCTTCCCAGGGATTTAATTATTTTCATAAATATTTTAAATAAAATCATTCGGAGGAAGTCAATTATTTTCATAAATAACAATATCCATCACAAGAATTCAATTATTTTCAAAAGTAATAAAATTCAACTATTTTCAAAAACTTTAATAAGTCATTGCAAGATTTCAATTATTTTCAAAAATTTTTCTTAATTCAATAATTTCTATATTTATTATTTTAATGAAATTTCCCAAAAGAATTCAATTATTTAAAAACAATTTTGACAAAGTTCTACACACGAATATTCAATTGTTTTCTAAAATAATAAAAATTTCCCAAAAATTCAATTAGGTATTAAAAATTTTTCGACAAAAATCAATTGTTTGAACCTTTTTTATAAAATTTTTCGCAATAAGTCAATTATTTTTAATATAATTTTAATCGAATTCCTCAAAAAATGTGATTATTCTTAAAAATTTTATTAAAATTCATCGAAAGAATTTAATTATTTAAAAATTCGTTGATAAAATTATGTATAAATAATTGAATTTTTGTAGAATTTTCTAATAAAAATTGATTTAAAAATTTTAGAAAATAATAATTGAATTGAAATGATAAAAATAATTTTGAAGAAATTAAAGTAACAATATTCTTATATTATAATATGAAATAATGATTTTATCACCTCGGTCACCTTTAATTATTATAAGTTTTTAAATTTCAAAAGGTTTGAATTAGAAATTTTGGAAATCTTAGTTCCCATGGAAAAATAATAATGATTAAATATTTATTTCAGAATGAAGTTATTGGGGTTTTTGCGAATAATTTTATAATTAAGGAAATTCGTAAATAAATGAAATAAAACATTTTTTTGTGAATTTACTCATTTTCAGAGTAAATCAGAATATTCTTTAGGGCCAGGAAAATAGTCAAAATTTTGTCTGGAAATTAGGGAAAAGTCAGGGAAAAACAAAATTAATTTTTTGTGACAACCCTGATAAATAACGTAAAATTCTTATTTATCCCACTAGCGGGCTAAATATATTCTTATTTATCCTGCTAGTCGGCTAAAGTTTAAATTTAAATAATTTAACATAATTAAATTAATTTCGTATCCTCACGTGGAAGCTTTGTATTTTATTTATAATTTAAAATTATTACCATAGGTTTAAATGGTTCCTGTTCGGTTCACGAATGGATGGGACAATTTCGTCAGGAGAATGTGAATTTTAAAATGACATCAGTCTGCGGTCATGTAATGAGTCTCGATTTCATTGGAAAGTACAATAATTGGGATAAAGTCGATCCTGTAAGTAAACAAAAGAAAAAAGAAAGTAGAATTTTGTAATGTTCAAAAAGAAAAATTTGAAAATTCTATTCTATTATAAAACTTGTTTTTAAATTACAAAAAAAATTATAGGCGGAACTATTTTCCTGTCCAACGGAGAAGAAGGAGGCGGTACCAAAATTAAAAATTCCCTATTTTCTCGCAAAAGAAGGTTCACATTGTGATTATTTGATACTCTGGTTGGATTGCGACAAAGAAGGCGAAAATATTTGCTTTGAAGTTATTAATGCTGTTCAACAGGGAATGTCTCGTCGTTTGCAACCAAATGTAATGTGAAAATCAGACTTGGAATTTTTCTAGAAAATTTTTAATTCTTCTAAAGAATTTTACAATAATAATATAGAAGAAAATTTAATTTAAAATTTTTGTATTAGTATTAAAAAATATTATTAAAATTTCATTTCTATTTTTATTTTTATTTCAATAATCAAATTTATTTTCAGGACATTTGGCGAGCTCGATTTTCTGCAATTACCGAAAAGGACATAAAAGCAGCTCTCGCCAATCTTGAAAAACCGAACGAAAATGAGGCGAAGAGCGTCGACGCCCGACAGGAATTGGATTTACGAATAGGCTGCGCCTTCACGAGATTTCAAACTAAATTCTTTCAAGTTTGTCTCCCATTTCTTAATTAACATTTCGAAAATTACACTAAATCATTAAATTTATTTGAAATGAAGACCAAATATACATATTTTTTAAAACAAAATGAACATTTTAGATTAAAATATACATTTTTAAATAAAATGTACATTTTAAAATACATTTTAAAATAAAATGTTTGTTTTTTAAATTAGAAAATTGTTTGTAAATTTATTTTTCAAGTACAAACTTTTAAATGTTATATACCAAATTTTTTAATGTAAAAAAATGTTATACAGGGAAAATACGGTGACTTGGACGCATCTTTAATATCGTATGGACCATGTCAGACGCCAACTTTGGGTTTTTGTGTTCAGAGACACGACGAAATACAGACTTTTAAACCTGACGCTTACTGGGTACTTCAGGTAATAAAAAGAAAGAAATTAGGAAAAATTTCTGATAATTTAAAGTCAAAGAACTTTACAAATCAAATTTTCAACTATAAAGCACAATTTTAATGTATTTATTATATATAAATTTTATTTTTTTACTTTAAAAATAGGTCACAGTGAAAACTTTAGAGGGTCAAGACTTAATTTTAAGTTGGAGTCGAGGTAGATCTTTCGATAAAGAAGTGGCATCCATTTTTCTTAGTCACGTAAAGGAACACGAAATCGCCAAGTAAATTTTCTATTTCTATTAAATATTAAAAATTTTAAAATATAATATTTAAATTGATATATTTTAAAAATATTTTAATATATTATTATTTTTATTATATTAAATATATTATTTTTAATATATGAATATATTAAATAAATTTTTAATTTGTAATATTACTTTTAATATATTAATTTTAAGTACTGTTTTGTGCTCATAGATACAAATTAATTGCTTTATAGTGTGGCGAGTATTCAGAGTGTCGAGAAAGCAAAATCGAGGCCCATCGCTTTAAACACCGTTGAGCTAATGAGAGTGGCGAGTTCCGGTCTCGGAATGGGACCGCATCATGCGATGCAAATCGCCGAACGACTCTATACACAAGGCTACATCAGCTATCCGCGAACCGAAACCACATCGTATTCGGAAAATTTCGATCTACTGTAAGTTTACCAACATTTATAAAGGAATAGAATTTTTTTCCCTTTTAGGAAATGAAACTGTAAAGAAAAATATAAAGCGATACAAGATAGGATCGAATTTTAGGTTCCAACTGTAAAGTAGAGTTTAAAAACATTTAAGAAATATTTTAAACTACTTTAAGGCACTTTAAGGGACTTTAGGGAGTTTTAAAACACTTTAAAGTACTTTAACAGACTTTAAGAAACTTTAATAAATTTTAAGGGACTTTATAAGAAAATTGAAACTACTCGAAACCACTTTAATGGATTTTATGGAATTTAAAGGCACTTTAAAGTACTTCAATGAACTTTATACTTTAAAGGATTTTATAAGAATCTTTAAGTCACTTCAATGTACTTTTAGGAACTTTAAGTCACTTAAATGTACTTTTAGGAACTTTAAGGCACTTTAAAATATTTTAAGGGATTTTATAAGAAATGTACTTTTAGCAGGGTTCGCACTATAGGTTCGTAAATCCCGTAAAGGTCCGTAAATTTGCTTGAACTCCGTAAAGGTTCGTTTTTTTGAAAAATGGTCCGTAATTTGATTGAGAAAAGACGAAAAGTTCGTAAATTTTACGATATAATTTGGAGAATTTTAGAGAAATTACAAATATTTGCAGAAATTTAATTATTTTCAAATGTAACAAAATTCTTCTGAGAAATTCAATTATGTTCAAAAATTTGTTTAAATTCTCGTCAAAAATTTCAATTATCTTTAGAAATAATTAAATACCGAAATTCAATTATTTTCAAAAATGATAATAAAATTCTTGGCAAAATTTCAATTATTCTCAAAAGTTTTCCTCAATTCAATGATTTTTAATATCTACTATTTTAATAAAATTTTCCAATAGAATTCAATTATTAAAAAAAAAAGTTGATAAAATTCTACGCAAACCTTTAATTATTTTCATAAAATAATAAAAATTTCACAGCAATTCAATTACTTAGAAATTTTTTATCAATTTCTTCGCAATCATTCAATTATTTTCGTAAATAATAAAACTCATTGCAGAATTTCAATTATTTTTAATACAATTTTAATTGATTTCCTTGAAAAATGTAATTATTCTTAAAAATTTTATTAAATTTCGTCATCAATTTAAAAATTTATTGATAAAATTCTTAATGAGAATTTAATTTTAAGAAACATGCAATTTTTCAATAAAATGTTTTTTTTTTAATAAAAATAATTGAATTCTAGTTGAATTTTGTAACAAATATTTATTTAAAAATGGATTTCAGTTAATATTTCAGATTATAATTGAATATTAGAAGCATTAGAGCGTGAATTTTTAGAAATAATTGAATTTTGAAAAGGTTTCAAATTAAAATCTTTGAAAATCTGAATTTTCCATATTTTTAACTAACAATTCTGTGGAATAAATTTTTTTGAGAAAGTTTAATAGCGGATATTTTTTGGAAAATTATTTCAAGTTTTTATTTTCTAATATATATTTAATTGAAGAATTTACGAATAATTGAAATTTTGTAAAATTGAATTGTAAACAAATGAATTTGAAAATTCTCAAAAAACTTTTTCAAAAATTATTGAAAATAATGCATTTGTAGAAAAATATTAGTTAAAAACACGAAAAAAATTTTAATTTTTGTAAAGTTACAAATTATTACAGAAATTTAATTATTTTCAAGAGTAATAATATGTGACGCGATCTGAAGAAAGGGACCTTAGAAGCAAAAAATTATAGGTTATGTTTGCAACTTTTTAAATGAAAATACAAAAAAAGGATCAACTGTCAATATAAATCATTGATGTTTAAGTCTTCATTAAAACTAAAATATTTAATAAACACTGATTTTAATTCGAAATAAGTAAAAAGAAACTTTCAAACAAGAAAAAAGTAACTCTAACCCAACCTTAAAATGATTTGCTTCTAAGGTCCCTTTCTTCAGATCGCGTCACATATTCTTCGCAAAAATTAAATATTGTTCAAAAATAATAAAATTCTTCTTAAGGATTCTATTATTTTCACAAATAATTTCAATTATTTTTAATACAATTTCAATCAATTTCTCAAAAAATGTAATTATTCTTAAAAATTTTATTAAAATTTGTCGAAAGAATTCAATTATTTAAAAATTTGTTTATAAAATTCTTTACGAGAATTGATTTTTAAGAAACATTTAATTATTCGATAAATTATTTATTTTTGTATTTAAATAATTGAATTCTCGTAGAATTTTATAATAAAAATTGATTTAAAAATGAATTTCAGTTAAAATTTTAGATAATAATTGAATATTAAAAGCAATATGGCGTGAATTTGTAGAAATAATTGAATTTTGAAATTAATTTTTTTGAAAAAATTTAATTGAATTTTTTTATTATAATTTCAAGTTTTTATTTACTAATTTTTATTTAATTGAAGAATTTACGAATAATTGATATTGAATATTATAAACAAATGGATTTGAAAATTGTCAAAGAACTTTTTCGAAAATTATTAAAAATAATCGATTTAAAGAAGAATTTCAGCTAAAAATTGTTGATAATAATAATTGAATTTTTTGGATAGACTCCTTGAAGAGGAAGTCATTTAGATTTCGAAACGTTGGAGTAAATAAATATTTTTATTTATTGTTCGAATGTTTTCGTTTTATTTGCGTTATTTTTTCAGTGCAACTTTGAGACAACAGCAAAACAGTTCCGAATGGGGTGACGAGGTGCGAAAAATTCTCTCTGAAGGAATAAATAGGCCAAGAAAAGGACATGATCATGGGGATCATCCGCCAATAACACCAATGAAACACGCCTCGCGAAATGAATTAGATGGCGACTCATGGAAATTATACGACTACATAACTAGACATTTTATCGCCACGGTTTGTAAACTGCGGTTTATTTAAATATTTTTACTTTATAATCTTAATTTTAATTGATTTTAATTTTTTGCTATTACAGTTGGCACGCGACTGTAAATATCTCAGTACGACAATTAAATTTAAAATTGGAATGGAAACATTCACAATCACTGGACATTCATTAATCGATCCTGGTTATACCAGTCTTCTTACATGGCAAGCTCTAAGTAATAATGAAACTCTTCCTAAACTTGTTCAAGGCGATAAGGTCAATATTCAGGAGGTAATAATTTCATAAAATGTGACCCGACCCGAAGAAAGGTACCTAAGAAGCAAACGAATTATAGGTTGGGTTCGAGTTAGATTTATCTTGATTAAAATTTCATTTTTAATTATTTAAATTTTAAACCAATATTAATTGAATATTTTGAATATAATGAAAACTTGAAAACCAACAATTTTTAATTAATAATTGATTCTCTTTCTGTATTTTTACTCAAAAAATTTAAAACATAACCTCAAATGTTTTCCTTCTTAGGTACCTTTCTTGGGAACGCGTCACAAATAGTCTATCAAAAGTAATAGAGAAAACATAAATGAATATACGTATGTGAAGACGTTAAATAATAAAATTAATTATTTCGATATGAAAATTACAGACAAAACTTCTCGAGTGTTTCACTCAACCACCGGACTATCTCACAGAATCGGAATTGATTTCTCTAATGGAAAAGCATGGAATTGGTACTGACGCTTCAATTCCGGTGCACATCAACAATATTTGTATTCGAAATTACGTGACAATTGCAACGGGCAGAAAATTAGTGCCCACCTCATTGGGAATTGTCCTCGTTCACGGTTATCAAAAGGTATCAAATTATCATATCAAATTTCTAGTTTTCCATTGTCTCGATAGATTTAATTTTTAATTTTAATTCCAAATTTTTGTTTCCTCAGATTGATCCAGAATTAGTTCTACCAACAATGAGATCGGCCGTCGAGGAGCAATTAAATTTAATAGCCATTGGTCAAGTTGATTTTAGCGCCGTCCTACAGCATACGGTGGAAATTTTTAAATTGAAATTTCGTTATTTTGTGCAAAATATCGAGGCAATGGATCAATTATTTGAAGTCACATTCTCACCGCTCTCGGCGTCGGGAAAATCGCATTCGCGTTGCGGTAAATGTCGTCGTTACATGAAATACATTCAGACAAAACCATCGCGCTTACATTGTGTCCATTGTAATGAGACTTATAATTTACCGCAAAATGGAAATATTCGCATCTACAAGGAATTGAAATGTCCACTCGATGATTTTGAATTATTGTCATGGTCGAGTGGCTCGCGGGGAAAAAGTTACACTTTCTGTCCCTATTGCTACAATAATCCGCCTTTCAGGTTTGGAAACAATTTTCTTTTGTGACTTCTATCGTTAAACTTTAAGATTTTATCATTTTAAATTGGAAATTTTTTATTTAATTTTTAAATTTTTTCTTTAGTTCAAAAATTTTGAATTTTATTTTTAAACTTTAACTTTAAATTTCAAAATTTACTTTTAAATTTTAACTTGAGCTTAAAATTTTAACCTTAAATTTATTTTAAGTAGCTTAAAATTTTACCTTTAAATTTTAACCTTAAATTTTTTATGTAGCTTAAAATTTTAGCTTAAAATTCCAATTTTGGTTAAAATTTTACCTTTAAATTTTAAAAATTGAAGTTTTTTTGAAAGGACCTTAATTTTATAGATAATAGAGTGGATATTTTCGTGGCCTTTGGTCCAAGAAGATGTAGTTTCTTTAATATTTTAAATTTTAACTTAAGCTTAAAATTTTACTTTTAAATTTTGATTTAAAATTAAAATTTTACATTAAAATTCTTTAAAGTAGGTTAAAATTTTACGTTTAAGTTTTAACTTAAACTTAAAATTTTACATTTAAAAATCGTGACTTAAGCTTAAAATTTTATCTTTCAATTTTCTTAAGTGGCTTAAAATTTTTAGTTTAAGTTAAAATTTAAAAGTAAAATTTTATACCAAAGTGAAAATTTTAAGGTAAAATTTTAAGCTACTTAGAAGGAGTTTACACCGTAAGCCTTAAATATAAGCCTCCGCGCGCATAAACGGATATACCTCCAGGAGCATATATTTGCGCCTGCGCGAACACGTGGTCAAGGCAAACTCTTTCACAACACAGCTGCAGGCAAACACTTTGCGCAGACGCAAGTATATGCTCATGGAGGCATATCCGTTTATGCTCGCGGAGGCTTATATTTAAGGCTTACGGTGTAAACTCCTTCTTAAAAAAATTTAAGGATAAAATATTAAGCTTAAGTTAAAATTTTAAGCTTATGGCAAAATTTTGCCTTGAAATTTAGACTTTAGCTTAAAATTTTACCTTTAAGTTCTTTAAAGTAGTTTAAAATTTTACCCTTAGATTTTTTAAACGAATTTAACAAATTTTACCTTTAAGTTTTGATTTGAGCTTAAAATTTTACCTTTAAATTCTTTAAAGTAGTTTAAATAGTTTACCCTTAAATTTTTTAAACGGGATTAAAAAATTTTTCCTTTAAATTTTGACTGGAGCTTAAAATTAAGCCTCTGGAAAGTATAACCACACATAAAATTTTGACGCCCATTGAATTAGCATGGCGGTCAGAATTTTATGTGTGGTTATACTTTCCGGAGGCTCAATTTTACCTTTAAATTCTTTAAAGTAGTTTAAAATTTTACCTTTAATTTTTTTAACCAGTTTAAGAATTTAACCTTAAAATTTTAACTTAAACTTAAAGTTTGGCCTTAATTGTACTTTTCGGCCTCTTATTTTCTAATTTACGTAATTTTTCTATATTTTCGACATTTCTTTTTGTGTTTTTGCAAATATTCTCTAAAGTTGTTTTGATATATTTTTCAGGGAAATGAAAAAAGGCAGCGGCTGCAATATGTGCACGCATCCAACTTGTCCGCATGGAATGTATCAAAACGGAATATCAAGTTGCTTGGAGTGCGATACGGGAATTTTAGTTCTGGACCCATCGGCCGCGCCTAAATGGAAATTAGTCTGCAATCGTTGCGACGTTATTATTCATCTTTTCGAGAATGCTCACAAAGTGAGCGTCGAGACAGACGTCTGCGAATGCGGCGCTCAATTAGTTACTGTTGAATATAAACAGGTAAACACAAAAATAAATAATTCAAAAATAGTTTTTAAACAAGAAACAAATTTCCATTTGGAAAAATTTTAAAAAATAAATTTTCAAAATAATAAAAATACCCAATCATTATTTTTTCACAACTTTCCTTATTGTTAAAAAATAGGTACCTATAAATATTTTGAAAATATTAAAACAAAATAATAATTAAGTATTTTTACTGTTATTATAATAAATAATACAATTTAAATTCTAAATGGAAAAAGAAATAAATAAAATTCTCTAAATAGAGAAAGAAAATTGAGGGAAAAACTAAAAAAAGGCAAAAAGTAAAATTATTTTAAACTTTTTTTCAGGATAAAACAAAACTTCCGGACGAGGCGACGGAAATGACCGGCTGCGTTTTTTGCACGAGACCATTTGTTTCGCTGGTAGAAAAGCATAGGGCTGTTGCATCGAAGCCGGTCTCGGTTAAATCGCGAGGTCATTCGAAAGGAAAAAGCCGAGGACGTCCTCGACCACCAAAAGATAAAATGGCACAACTCGCGGCTTATTTTGTATAATTAAGCTTGCAATCTTTCCGCCCTTTTCATTTGTAATTTTTTCATTAATTCAATTTTCGTATTAAATAATACAATAATAATGATAATAATAACAACAAAAAATAGTAATAATAATAATATAATGATAATAATAGTAAAATTATTATTTTAATAATAATAATTAATAATAATAATAATAAAAATAGTTAATTGTAAATTTTAAGGATTTTGGCACATTTGCTGTCTTCCTTTGATTACACAAATTTTACATTATAAAATTATAATTATGATTTAAAAAACGAACATTCTCTTATATTTATTTTTTATATTTTGTATTTTAATTTTATGTCATTATTTTTACTTCTGTAATTTTCTTTATCATTTTCTATTTTTTATTTCAACTTTTTATATATTTTCCATCCCCCCTTTTTTTAAATTCATATATAATTAAAAAATTTTGATTTATTGAAAATTTCTTTTAAATTTTTTATTCATTAAAAACGATTTTTTAACCTTTTTGGAAATATTAATTAGAAATGTTTAATTCAATTCTTTTTTTGAATTTTCTTTTCATTGAGTTCTTTCTTCACAGTAAGAAAAAAAAATGTTTTCATCTTCATTAATTTACATAATGTGCCAAATATTTTATTCAATTTTCAATGTCTGTTTTTTAGGGAAAAAAATGTAAATAGAAAATTTCCATTTATACGTAATTAATGTCAATGTAGATCAAAAATATTTATTTGATATGATATAAAATAAAAATCTAATAAGTTAAAAATTTCGTCATTTTCAAAAATTTTACAAAATAAAAAAATTACTTTATTTTTAAATTATTTTTATTAGAAAAAAAAATATATTTTTTTCTAATTCTATATAGAATTATAATTCGAACGACAAAATTTTGCTTTTCAATTTTCTTCAACCTTAAATTGAATTATGATGTTAAAAAAATTATCAAGAAATATTGAAAGAAAATTCTTTCTTCTTTTTATATAATATATTTATAAAAGAAAAAAAAAGAATTATATCCGAACGATTTCAGGCAGACAATATTTATAGCGCAAAATATCTGAAAAATATCATTCTATCGCCCTAAACTATGACCTTGCTCAATTCAAGAGGAAAATCCCTAATAATCTTTTCTTTGTCCTTGGCTGTACCATTCTTCTCGTTTCTAGGGGAGATGACCCTTTTCTCACTTTTTTATTTCACAGAAGTAAGATAAATGTCACGGATGATAGGAAAATTAAAGTGTTTTATTACACATTTGTTTATCTTTATTTCTGATATTTCAAAAAAAAAAATTTATCTTTTTATCTTGTTAAATAAAGCACTTTTTTATGATTAAAAAAGTTTTTAATAAAAATTGAAATTTTATAGCTTGAATAATATATTGAAATTACTAGAATTAAATTATTTCCTGTATTTGAAAACCATCAACTTATCCTCAAATCATCAGAAATAATCAATTTCTTGAAAAAAGAATGAAAACTAAATTTAGTATCAATTTTTATCGAAGAAAATATTTCGTATTTTCTTTCAAAGAAATAATGAACGTTTTTAAATTTAATAAATTTTAATTTTCTAAATTATCCTCAAATCATCAAATCAAAAAGAAAAGTTGATCAAATATTTACAAAATCAAGTCATCAACTTTTGCAAGTCAGAGTTAAAAAAATATTCCCATTATTTCATTAATTTTATCGAGAAACCTATTATAAAAGTTTCTTATATCCTCAAATCATCAGAAGTAAACAATTTTTAAAATACTAAAATAAATGTAGATATTTTTATTTATTTACTGTTATAGTTGTTATAAAGATTTTTTTGAAAAAGAAGATAAAATCATTCCTTTAGAAATGTAAAATAAGAAAATTGTTACTTTAAACTTTTATCTTTAAATCATCAGAAATCATTCAATTTACCAAAAAATCGAATTGACTTAGTTTTTATTAAATTTTTTTCAAATATTAATAAAAATACAAATTTGTAGTAACTAAAAAAAAAAATTATTGATTAAAAAAAGATATTTTCTCAATTAATAGTCACTAATCTTCAAATCGTCAGAAATCATCAATTTAACAAAAAATCTAATCAACTTAGTTTCTGTTAGAATTTTTCAAATAAGAAATAAAAATACGAATTATTTTTCGTAGAAACAAGAAAAAAATTATTTGTTAAAAAACTTTAAACTTTTATCCTCAAATCATCAGAAATCATCAATTTAAAAAAAAATGGAATTTCCAGTTTTAGTTAATTGTCCTTAAAAAAGTATTATGTAAATTAGATTTAATATTCGAAGGAGAAATTTATTTTTCATAACGCGGTGCTAAAAAGGGCACTTTTTTGCACCTTGTTATGAAAAATATCGTTCGTAACTAGTGCTAGCAGTTGCCAATTTTTGAACAAAAAAAAAGGAAGGTCCTTACATCCTTAAATCATCAAAAATCACCAATTTTTTCCAAAAAATGAAATAATCTTTTCTTTATATCACAAAAGACAAATAAAATCAAATCACGCCTTGGTATTTAAAGGAGAAAAATTATTTATCTTCTAACGGTACTAATGGTACTAACGGAAATATTCTCCAATCCTCAAATCATCAAAAATCGTCAACAATTCAGAATAAAAAATAGTTTTTGTAAAAAAATATTCTCACTTTAGTTTAAGGAGGTAAAAAAAATGAAATACTGTTTTCTCCAATAGAAAATAATAGAATACCGTCATCCTCAAATCATAAAAAATCATCAATTTTTCCAAGAACTGAAACAATCAATTGCTAGTTGATTCAAAAATTACAATCGAATTTAATAATTCATCTAAAAGAAAACCAAATAATTCTTTTAAAAAGAAAAAAAGTTTTTTTTTTCGTTACAGCTACAGAAAAAGTAAAGTTAAGAAAAGTTTCTCGAGTTTCCAAGGATGACTAATATAAAGTTTTGAGTTTATCGTTAGTCACGAAAAAGTATCAGTCGCGATATAATGTTTAAGAGGCGGAATTGTTTTACGGCATTCACCGGTATAAAAAGTCGTATCTTCTCTTATAAAAAAAACAGTCGAAAAAAAAGGAAGATAAAGAAAAAATTCTTCCATAGAAAAAACTGATAAGTTTACTATAGTGAGAATGGCGTGTTATACACACTCAAAGAAGACGTCCCCTGGGGTTCGACACTTTCTCACATTCACATCTTTTTTCACGTTGCAAAATCGTTTCGTCATGTGCTTGTGTTTGCCACTATACACGAATTCGCGCTTATCGGAGCAATTTTTCTACATCTTTTTACGTCCAGAAACATTTCACTCTTCTAATACATGTAGACGCGCTTTCTCGTATATATATATACAACGCAAGGGCGATGCAAACATTTTCTTCAAGAAAATTTTTCAACTCACATAAAGGAAAAATTACCCTTTTTCAAATTAACAAACTAAGATGATTCTAGTTTTATGTTTATGCTTCCTTTCGTAAATTAATTGAACTTAGATAATTAAAAACTTTTATTACATCGGACTTAAAACAGAAAATACTGAAGAAATATTAATATTTTTCTTTTTTTCTTTTCGAATCCTCAAATCATCAGAAATCATTAATTTTTAAATAATCTAGAATTAGTAGTATTTTTAATTAAACATTTTTTATTGCAAAAATTATTCTGTTAAATAAAATATTAAAAAAATATTAACATCTTTATGTCAATCCTTTCGTATCCTCAAATCATTAGAAATAAAATCATCAATTTTTCAAAAAAGTAGAATTACTATAATAATTACTCTTTCGAAATAAACATTTTGTATTGCATCAAAATTTATTCTGTTCGAGAAAATATTAAAGTGGTAAATTTTTTTTCTATTTCATATCCTCAAATCTTCAGAAATCATCAATTTTTCAAAAAAGTAGAATTACTATTACTTTAAGAAAAACCTCTTTTACTGCATCAAAATTTATTCTGCTCGAGAAAATATTAAAGTGTTACATTTTTTTCCATTTCATATCCTCAAATCATCAGAAATCATAAATTTTTCAAAAAAAAAACTAGAATAACTAGTATTTCGAAATGAACGTTTTTTATTGCAAAAAGATTATTCTGATCAAGAAAATATTAACATCTTTATGTCAATCCTTTCGTATCCTCAAATCTTCAGAAATCATCAATTTTTCAAAAAAGTAGAATTATTATTATTTTGAAAAAAACATTTTTTATTGCAGAAAAATTTATTCTGCTTGAGAAAATATTAAAGTGTTACATTTTTTTCCATTTCATATCCTCAAATCATCAGAAATCATCAATTTTTTTAAAGAAAACTAGAATTACTATATAGTATTTCGAAATGAACGTTTTTTATTGCAAAAAGATTATTCTGTTCAAGAAAATATTAACATCTTTATGTCAATCCTTTCGTATCCTCAAATCATCAGAAATCATCAATTTTTCAAAAGAGTAGAAGTACTATTATTTCGAAATAAACATTTTGTATTGCATCAAAATTTACTCTGTTAGAGAAAATATTAAAGTGGTAAATTTTTTTTCTATTTCATATCCTCAAATTATCAGAAATTATCAGAAATCATCAAGTTTTCTTTATAATCATAATCAAGAGTTTTCCAAAGTATTTTTTAATCATGTTATTTAAAAAAAACTATTTTTAATGAATATATTACATAAAAAAGCGTTATTTCATTTTGTTATACACTGTAAAAATTTTTTTCGAAATTTTTCGAAAAACTGTTCGCCAGTTTTATTTCGCAAAGGTTAGAAATTTTTCGAAACAATAATGTCGAAAAATTTCGAAATTTGTTTCGAATTTTTCCGAACAGAGTGGTAAGAAAAATTTCGAAACTCAGTTCGAATTTTCTAGCAACGTTTTTAGATAAATTTCGAAACTCCTTTCGACTTTTTTCTAACCAAACGTTAAGAAAAATTTCTACAACCTATTCGATTTTTTTCGAACAAAATATTTCGATAAATTTCGAAACTTTGTTCGATATTTATAGCAACGTGTTCCGATATATTTAGTAAAATTTTCGGATATTTTTCTAACTAAAAATTTAGAAAAATTGCAAAGCTAATAAAGATTTTTTGCTCTACAAATAGTAAGGATGTTTTTTAATTTCATTTGGTATTATTTGTTCACTAATATTAACTGCAGTTATTTAATTAATGCTGTTCCAATAAGCATAAAAATTATAAATGGGTGCAAAATAGAGATAAAACGATTTAATATAAGTATACATTTATAAAGTTTTTCTTTTATTATAAATAGCTGTCGTACCCGTCTTCGACGGGTTTTAGTTT